GCTTTTGAACTATTAATGACTTACAAAGATTATTACTCCAACTTTACTAATAAAAATTATTACAGTTTATTTTTTCAGTAAAATAAAGATTTCTGTAAAATAAAATGTAAAAAGTAGAAATGACTTAAATTCAAGTATTAAATAATTCTAAATATATAAAATATTTCACTTTTGACCATGGAAACATGTTGAAGAAAGGCAAAAAAGGAAGTCTTGGAGAGATTGAGATGTAATGGAAAGGAGAAACGGAATGAGAGCAATAATAGATGATGCTATGACAAAGGCAGGAAAGAGGATTGAATGAAGCAGAATGGAAAATTAGTATAGACAGGGTATGAAAGAATGTAGGTGTAAGAAGAAATGAAAAAGAATTAAAAATATTGTTTTACTCATTTACTGTCTTTTTTTTCTTTTCTTTTCTTTTTTTTTTAAATGACAAGTTAGATGAAAAAGAAACTGAAGAAAGATGGGGACAAAGAAAATATTCTTAAAAGTGAAGAAAAGAGGAAAAGGAATATAAAAAGTTGAGAGAAAAAAAAGGAATTTAGAAGGAAAAAATGATCAAGTTTACAACAATGAATGAAAAAACAAAAAGACAACTCGGCTGAAGATTTACAAAGAAAACTTCACCTAAGTAGAAATAAAGAATAAAAAATAGCAAAAAAAAGGATGGATGGAAGGAAGAGAAGGGTTAAAGATTGGTGGGGTGGAGTATAAAACTGAAAAAGTTAAAATAGCTGAAAAATATTTTGTAGAATGAAAAAAGAATTGGAGAAAAAAAAAAATGACAAATTAAAAATGGATTGCAAGGTGAAAATGAAAACAGCAAATTTAGTCTATTTTGCATGCAAGTTGCCAACATAAAAACTAAAATGTTAAAGAGCCAATTATTTTTTTTTAAAAAATAAACTGAAAATTATTAAAAAAAAAACAAACAAAAGAATCCCCCTTCCTCCAATAATAATAAAATGAAATGCTGTATTCATTCCAATATTGCTGCTGTTCTCATGTAACTCTGCCATAGAATCTTCGTCTTCATCTTAAAAGAAAAAGGAAATTACAAGGAAATAATATGAGTAGCATTGATAAGAAGGAAGAATTGAAGTGCTCCAGTGGTCAGAACACAATGTAAAGAGAAACAGGAATGGTGGCGGCTTAATGTAACATTTGTTATACAAGGAGGTCCAATTACAATTTAATTTTGGCTTCACTTACATTCACAGCAGGGAATGGAACAGAAAATGCTGAAGAGGAACACAAGATAAATTGCATGTATGTGTGAATTATATATGTGTGTGTGTATATATATATATATATATATATATATATATATATATATATATATATATATATATAAAATTTGCAGAATAAAGGGATTTTTGATTTAACATGTTTAAGTATTGAAAGTATTAAAAAGAGTAGAATAAAGTTGGCTAAGGAAAATTATAGAAGAAATGCTTTTTTTAAGAAGTAAAAAAAAATGTCAATTATTTTTATGTAAATTTTTATCTTTTAACTTTAAAATGATTTTTATTTTTTGGTTTATATTACATTTTTAACTATTCCCCACCATCTCTTTATCATATTCACAATAGTTTTTTTTATTTTCTGAAATTCTTTAATTTCTTTTCTTTTTTTTTTTTTTTTTTTTTTTTTACTTAATTTAATATTTATTTTGATATTTTCTGTTAAGTACATTTTCCTATAGGTCAGTATAAAGATTTGCTAGGAGGGGAAATTGTCTTATTCCCTTTTTTGTGATTTTTTTTTTTTTTTTTTTTTTTTAAGCTTTTTTAAGCTTTTTATTATTTTATACAATTTTTACTAATCTGATTTTTTTTTTCATATCTTATAAGGTATGATTGTGGGATTGAATTTGATTTCTTTTTGTAGTTTAAAATAACTTTTTATTGTAAAAGGAAAGAAGTTTTTCTTTTTTTTCTTTTTAAAAAAAATCTAATTTTCTTCTCATCTTAAAGTAATCATAGTTGAAAAATTGTCCTATTGTCAAATGCAAGGAATGCTGAGACATCCCCTGGTCTTCAGCATTATATAAAAGAAATATCAAAATAATTTTTGGAAGCTCCCCATACTTTGTCCGCTTTCCCATAGGCAGGAACCCACAGGAATCACTGATATGATTGTGAAAGAGAAAAAAGATGAGCTTTTTGCCATTCAATATGGTATGTACTCTAGGACAGCTGCCTGTCAAAATCAAGTCATCTTCACCAACACTAAAAGACATCTATCTGTGCATACATTTGTAACTCATTGCTGAGAGTAGCAGGCAACTGAATGAGAAGTCTGAGGTTCCATCACAAGTGCTGTGTGGTTAAGGCTAATTATAATAAACTCTATACCTGTCTATATTTCTGAGATGGAGTATTGTAATTATTTACATTTTTTGGACTGTTGTCCTCATCTTTATTGTGATGTTCACAACCTTTCAGATGTTGTACACTTTGGCCTTCTTCAGGTGAAATTGGAATTTCAAACTGAACCCTTAATTTCATCCACCAGGGTAGATTGTTCTAGCTCCACCTGCCATGCCTCTTTCTTTTATAGAATGCTCAGGGACACATAGTCCAGTGGATAAAAGCATAGGTTGGATCTAGTGACAGTTGTGAGTTCAATACCTGGCTACTGCAGTGGTGGACAAAAATTGGATAGTTGAGTTTCCTTGACTTAACTCTCCAAGTTTTTGTTCACTGAGACATCCAAAGAGGCATGGCACGTGAAACTAGAATAATCTACCCCCCAGCAGATGAAATAAAGGGTTCAATTTGAAATTCCAATTATAAAATTATAAGAAAAACAAAAAAAAACAAGGATATGTGGTCAAGTGGTTAGAACATTAACATTCTAACCACGTGACCCAGGGTCAATTTGTTAAGGAAGCAACTTTTTGATTATATTTGTATAGGGGAGATGATCCCAATGCTTACTACTGTTAAGTTCTTGAAAAATATATCACTGGTTGACCAAATTTTTGTGAGTGAAATTAGGTAGATGGAACTTCAAGAGTTATACTAGTACAAAGTCAAAAATCATTGTGTGTGAGTGTACTAGCATTGTTAAAACTCTTGGTCACAGCAGATTATGCACTCACTCCCAGAAACTGTAAATAAGGCCTGCGCAATATCACTGGAGTGAAAGCCATGATTTGGCTCTGGGTGTTGAAGTAACACAAATATGTCTGAGCAGGCTTCATAGCAGATGGTTATATTCAGAAATGAACAGCCAGCTATTATAATGAACCTATAAAAGCAAACACAGTAGTCTTTGGTTTTGAGCTCAATAGTAGAACACTATACTGATAGGCAAAAAGGTTGATTTCTTCATTTTTTTTTTTTTCCCCTTTCTTGTACTAGGTTTGTTATGCTCCTTAGAAGAAATTCTTTGGAAAATTACTTATTGCAGAATAGCCATACAGGTGTGACTAAACAAAATAAATATTGCAGTGACAATTCAAATATTGTCAGAAAAAATTGTGTTGGCATAAAAATAATAGTAAGAATAAGTCAGACAATCCCGGCTCTTCAAATAAAAATTAAAGCAAGACTCATCTTAAGGATAAAGAACACTCCTAGTCCTTACTGAGGAGAAACATTGATTTTTCTATTGGATAAAGGGAACTGAAAATCTAATTTATCTTGAAATCATAATAACTTTTTATATGCACTTCAACAGGTGGAGAGAAGAAAGAAATACACACCTCCACCAAAATTCAGCTGATACCTTTATGCATTTCCTGACTAGAGTTAACGTAGTCAAAGAAAAAGATATCAAGAACTAAAATAATATTAAAGAAACACATAGAAATTCTGTTAACCTCTTTTGGTATCAGGTCATTTTATGAAGCATTATGATAAGAATAGGATCAGAGGGTTTTTTGTAGGGGGTTAAACTATAGGTGTAGTCATGAATGAGGAAAATATTCTATTTTTTAGCTAAACATAAGATGCCTATTTATGTGATGAAGAATGTGGAGAATACCATGGATAGAGCATTTAAGCAAAGAGGAAGTTTTAGTTGGTTGGTTGATTGATTTTTCTACAGCTTATCAACCTGTTGCAGGTCATTCAAAGCCAGAAAATATTTAGATTCTAAGAAATTTGTGTTTTGTGGATAATAATGGTTTCGTGATGCAAGTTTTACTAATTACTGTATAGCTGGGGCAAAGAGGTTGAATCATATCTTTCCCAAGGGTATTTGTGTGTAAGTGAACATAATGAACCAAACTGGAATTGGAACTCAGCTCTCTAATTAAAAACTCTGAGCTCTTATTCATTACACCACCCGCACATCCAAGCTTACAGCACTTGGTATTTCTTGTGGACTGGCGCTACAGAATCGCAAAGATCTGTACCAAGTAACAAAAACTACATCACTTGAGGACTTTCAATAGCAGCAACAGCTAAAATCGATATCACATGTGACTCAGAGAAAATAATGACATAATCAAGTTGTTGTAATGACACACTACTTCAAACAAAAGGTTAGGAAGGAAACCCTTATCAATATTGGAAAGAGCATTAATAGTGAACTTCAGAAACGTATTTTTCTGATGAATTGTTTTAAGATAAAGATTTTATAAATTTCAATCGACAGCACCACTGACTGCTCGGTCAATGATTGCCGAATTTTTCCTTATAAGGAAATTGCTAATATTACTATTACACTAAACTGATCTCAAGAATACTGAACGATTTTATCTATGAACTTATACCAGACTACACAAAATGCCTAAAAGTACAGAACTTTGGAATTGGGGTGGGGGAGAGAGAAACGGTAATTCTTTCGTTACAAATTCTGTAAACTGAAGACTTATGTCGATTGTGGAAACTCATTATGCACATTTGGAATATTCTACCAGGAAATGGTCACGATAAGGAGGGAAGATATTCCATCTGGAACTTAAACTTGACACTAATAGATTTTAAGCCTACCTCATAATTTATCACGATTTTTTTTTCTTCTTGCGTTCATTTACCTCGGCTATGGTTGTTCTCACTTGTCGTCAATGGAGCAGTGATGATATTGCTTTTGATGATGATGATGATAGTTTTCCTAACAAAATATATTCCCTTAAAGATGATATTAAGCTGTTAACCATGCTCGTGCGTCTTTGGTTGTAGCTGAAAGGATGAAACGAGTTCTTCAGGCGTTCCATTTGGCCTTCGTCTTTGCCTTTGGAAGAAAATTCTGTTTAGTCTAGAATTAGCTTTCATCTAGGTACTAGGCCGTGAGTAGATGGGCGGAGTAAGGTTCTTTGTCATTGTTGAATTTTTCCTCTTTTTCTTTACAGAACTCACTCTTCGCTTTTTTTCTTTTTTTTTTCTTTTGCTAACTATAGTGCCCATCTCTCTATTCACTCACCTATCAATCCTCATTTATTTAAATTCTTTTCTTTTCCCTTCATTCCTTCTCCTCCAGCCATGTCATCCACCCGTAGCATATACTGTCACATGTCTTCACGTTTCTTCTGTTTAATTATAAGACGTTTCAAAGGATATTGTTATGTCTACATTCAGTGTAGGGGCACAGACTACGGGAGCTGTCAACTGTTCATTGACAACTTAATGCTTACGTTGATCGCTATCATATTAAATGCGTCCGCAGCATCGAACCTTACGGCATCAATATATGTCAATACGATTGGAGCACCATAATGCTTTGCAGAAGTCAAAACTCTTTCAAAATTCCTCTATAGCTCCAACTCTCAACTAACTTCAACTCTTGTGATTTGCTTTTCTTCCTCTTCGAAGGCGTCTAATCTATGATAAAAGTTTCCTGTTCGTTCGTCGTTTGCGAAACTAAACACTCAGAAATTACTGGGTCGTTTTTAATGAAATATACGTAAATTTGATTAAATTTCGACGTGTTATAAGAAACTGGTTATTGTTTAATAAGATATTTCAGTGTTCACTCTTTACTTTTTATGTGCCATGTCCTTTCAGGACGTAGGCGATCATGACTCTCCACCCCCCCTATCCCTTGCAGCTCCCAAGTTCCTTCCTTCTGCTTCCCCTCCCCCCAGACCACGTTCTGTCATCCACCTGTCCAAGTCCACCAGGCATGTCACGCACTGTTTTCTCTTGTTTCTCTTTCCTTCTATTCGACCCGTGAGTATCAGATTCTCCACACCCTCCTTCCTTATGTGTCCCAGAAACTTCAACTGCCTCTTTCTGATATTGATTATAAGCCTGCTCTTTGTTTGCAACCTCTCTACGAACTCATCGTTGCTCACACGCTCGGTCCATGATATCCTTAGCATCCTTCAGTAAAACCGCATCTCTGTCGCCTCGATTCTCTTCTTCATCTTTGGGGAAATTGTCCAACATTCGCTGTCGTAAAGGAGGACAGATGTCACGTAACAGTACAGTATTTTTTTTTTTTTTTGTTACCAAAGATATCCTCCTGTCTAGTAATACTCTGCCCAGCTTTTGGAATGTGTCCTTGGCCATCTCAATACGCCTACGGATCTCAGTGTCGCACTTACCGTCCTCTGTCAAGACGCTTCCCAGGTAAATGGATTAAACAACACTGATGTGCGGGCGCGGAAATCCCAGGATGGTCTGTCCACTTTCGCACGTATGCCTTTGAAAAAGGCATGAATTCGTCTCTTCTCTCCACCATTAAATAGCACAACAGACCGGGTATTCTAGCTGTCGGTGGCAACCAGTGTAAGAGGAGAATTCTGAATTTCAAAGCGTTGAGAAGGAAACAGGAAGCCAATAACTCCACTATCTTTCCCAAGAATTCACAGCAAATCACAGATGATGAGGAAAAAGAATATTTGGAGAATTATCATCGTCTACGTCCTAGGAAAAAAGAAAAAAACAACACCGAATATACGGGAGAAAAATAAGTCAAATTTGGTTGTAATTTTCATATTCAGTTCAATGTAAATTTTCTCTTGAGATTAGAATTCAGACAATCTAGTAAGAAATATCTGCATGTACAGCTTTAAAGTAACAACGCATTTTTGGCAAAATAATTACTGTAGTTATCACCGCTGATTTGCTAAAAATATTAACATACCGGGATGAATAATTGCCCCAAACTTAATAAAAACAAAATTTTATCGTCAAAATATTTATTATTAAGAGGAAAGACTGAAGGCTTTTTTATTAAATTATTTTTTTTATCCATTTTAAAACGTTCGATTTTTTTTCCGTCAGTGGGTGGTGGGACCAAAGATTAGTAAAGGAACTTATATATATATATATATATATATATATATATATATATATATATATATTTTAATGCATGTTTCATTAAATAATATAGACAAGTTTTGTCTATGTATTTTAAGTTCCTTTCATATTGTCTGATAAGCTCAATAATATTATCATTGAAAGACGAAAGGAAATCACCATATTGATACATGTTTAAATCCAATCTAAGCTTTCGGCTTACATAAGCCATTATCAAAGATGACAATTACTTTTCAATATATCAACCAATACACGGACGAAACAATGAAATTTCAAAGCAACAACTAACTCGTGTATACGAGACGCGGAAGTGAAAATCGCTCGTGCCGTCACACATGACCACGCGAGAGTGAAAACGAGAAGTATTAAGTATGGGAAGCCGTTGGTATAAACCAGTGGCTTCTGTTATCAATTATAGGCATTTAGGAATATTTGTGGAGATTTCGTAGTTTTTGTTCAGGTTAGGTTTCAACTGTTTTATGTATATAGCTTCCAGAATTTTTAGTTTTTGTTTATTGTTTTCATGTTTAAGTATAAGTGTTTTCAACAAGGATTTTCAGGAATTGTGTACGCGGCCAGTGTTTTGTGTTTTAAATGCCTAAAAATGTTAGTTATCATTCAAATGTAGAGTCAAGCGTCGTGAAAGCGAGTTTGTGGTGTGACCAACATAAGCATAGATTGGATTTAAACATTTGTCTATATTTCTGAGATGAGGTATTATGTACAGTATTTACATTAGTCGGACTATTGTCCTCATCTTTGTCGCCATATTTGTCACAACGTTTCGGCCGTTGTACGCTCCGGCCTTCTTCAAGGACACATGGCACAGTGGATAAAGGCGTTGGTTAGATCCAGTGACAGACCCAAAGAAGGTGAGTTCAATTCCTGGTTAAGGCAGTGGAGAACTTTCAGAGGGAAAATTAGCAGGAGATAACTGATAACTGACATCCATCAAACATGGCACGTGGAATTAGAACAGTCTACCCCAGCGATCGAAATAAAGGGTTCAGTTCGAAATTCCAACCACCTGAAGAAGGCCGGAGCGTACAACGGCCGAAACGTTGTGACAAATATGGCGACAAAGATGAGGACAATAGTCCGACTAATGTAAATACTGGATTTAAACATGTATCAATATGGTGATTTCCTTTCGTCTTTCAATGATAATGTTAAGCTTATCAGACAATATGAAAGGAACTTACTTTAAATAAATAGACAAAACTTGTCTATATTATTTAATGAAACATGCATTAATGAAAAATTGCTGCCTAAATATACACAATATATATATATATATATATATATATATATATATATATATTCGGTGAAAAACACCAAGATTTGTAAATTCTTGCAAAAATCAAATAATTGTCGGATTTTAAAGTAACTTTCAGAACTTATTCACAAATGAATGAAATAATTTTAGATTTTTTTTTTTTTATATAGAAAATCTTGGTATATATATATATATATATATTTGTTACCCGCCACTTAATTTTAAGAAATTTCGAGAAATTACCTTTTGTACCACTTAATTTTTATATTAGTTCAGAAGACTTTGGAGAATTTAAATCATCAATTTGTTTTTGTAAAACTGGGACACCAGTTACTGAAAATCTGCTGTGAATCGTATAATAAAAATGCAATAAAACTGACATTATTTAATTAAAAAAGCCTTTTAGTTGTTTTTATGTATAATATATATTATAGACAATATTAAGTAAAAACTATATTTATTAATCATAAATGAAAAAACTCATAAATTCATTGAACACCAAGATTTTTAAAAGAATTTTTTTTATTTTTTGTGTGTGCAAACGTTCCGAAAATGAGAGCGATAACTATAGTAAATTTTAAGCCAAAATATCTAAAATTCAATAAAACACACAATTACAGAAAATATTTTCCTAATTTTTTAAGATTACTGAGTACTTAAAAATTATATAAAAAAGCGCTCTTGCTAGATTCCGCAATTATTTTTTTATGGATATATTTTTAAAAGATATTTTAATGAAGAGAATAACATATTTTATTATTTATTTTATAAGGTTTTTGTTCTATAAGTTTGGAGACCTTACTTTTCAATTAACCCTCCCATATTCTATGTGCTGCATTCCTTCAGGATATATGCGATCATGGCTCCCCACAATTTCCTAGGTCTCGTAACTCTCAGCAACGCTTGTCTCTGCCATTACCCCACGCGCTGCTTTCTTGTGTCTCTTTTGTTTTCGATGTGTCCTGTCAACCCTCGCATATTAGTCTCCATTAATATCCTTGGGAAAGAGATGAACCCATATTTCCCTGTTCTCTGTCCTGTTACCAGCCATCATGACAGGAAGTCTCTGTACTGGCACACGATACGTTGGTTGCAGGATAAAAACAAACAGTTCTTTTATTATGACATGTCTTATCGAAACACTAGAGGTTTAAATAAAAATGTTTATCATTACTGTCAAGCTTGTTATGCTCAAATAATATTTTAAAAAGGTCTGCAAATCTATTTGTATACTGATAACATTTATCAAGCGGAACAAAAACTTTTCAGTTTTGTATTTTTAATAAAGAGGCGAGTATTTTTTATTCTTTTTGAGAAAGCTGGATAAGGAATTACAAGACAAAAAGAAACATTTGAAATCAATTTTATACAAATGATGGATAGCACATTTTCCTCGAAGAGAAAATGATATAATGAATATGTTGACTTTTCACACTACGTTAAGCAAAAAGTTTGGAAGGAAATTTCAGTCAGTACTAGAAAGAGCGATAGTAGTGAACGCGATAAGTCCAATTTCCTTAGAAACTTGATTTAAAAAAATGATTTTTTTAAAAATTTCAACAAACTAATTGAATGCTAAACGTTTCTTGGATGTAAACGGCTAACTTTACTATTACTACTACTTCTATGTGCCATGTCCCTTCAGGGCGTAGGCGATCATGGGTCTCCACGATTTCCTGTTCTTTGTAGGTCTTAAGATATTTTTTTTCTTTTTTTCTTTCCTAAACCTTTGCTCTGCCATGTATTTACTCAAGCTCGTTAGGTAGGTTATGCATTTTTTTACTCTGTCCCGCTTGCCTTTAATCTGTCCTGTGAGTATCAAATTTTCCAAGACTTCTCCCACGTTATGTTCCTTTGAAATTTAAAAGTCTCTTCCTGGTGTTAAGTATAAATTTCCTTTTTGTTTCCATTTTCTCTAAAAGATCGTTGTTAGTCACATATTCAGTCCATAGTATACTCACTATCCTTTTGAAGAACGGCATATCTGTTGCTTCAAACCTCTTCATCTGCGAGTAGATTGTCCAGCATTCACTGCCATATAGGAAGGCTGACATTGCATAACAGTTCAGTACTCTTTTCTTTACTAGAAAAAGAAATATTCGTTTTGTTTTGATAGCACAACCATTGTTTGAATATAAACATAGCATAAGATGCAGAAGAATTAGTGTAGACAGCAGTCGAAAAGCTGTAGTTAGTTAGTAAGCTTAAACATAACATTTTGCCAAAACATTTTTGGCTGACATTGGTGATGGCAAATTGAACCAGAGGTTTATCATCATAAAACGTCTGTCAAAATATCTTTAGGCTTGTTAGATGTTGCTATTTTGGTCAATCCATCATGGGAGGAACTTACATGTTCTTCTCATCTTCGACGGGATTTCCAAGTTAGTTAGAGAGCAAAAATATTGTAAGATAATCAATCACGAACATGAGGCCTTTAGACGAAGGGAGATTTTTTTTTTAAATTTAATTCAGTGTTACTATGAAAATGATGAAATTACAGCCTGTTACAACGATGAATCTGTCATTCACCTTATTTATTTCTCAGTTTACACGTTTAAATGTTTGTTAATCCTTTTCTTCAACCAACCCATCTTCCTTGTTCTTCGTTAATTTGTTTCTCATTACCGGAGTTGAACTATTAATTGCATTGGAACTCACCTTTATGTAACTAATTCTGTATCGCACTTGGAGTTCAATGAGTAAGGAATTTTTAAGTTTTGTTTTCATGCACCCCACTTTTTCCAGCTCGTCTGATTATCTCCCTTGAATTTGTTTTCGAAACCTGAATTTATGTCCCCCCCCCATTCTCTTCCATTCTGTTAATTTTCATACTTGTACTGATATCATCATTATCAAATGCTAACGTGTGATTCTAAATGCTAATCAAATTAGAACCAATAACCATGACATTTATTAACGAAATTCTGTCTGAATATTTCCTGGTTGAAAGAAGCTTCCCTCTCTCACAAAAAATTAAAAATATAAATCGTTGGTTTGTTAATAAAATTATCTCTATGCAGTGGTGAAAAGAAAGGCCAATATCCTTTATGTTGTCATAAATATTGGTACTTGTAAAACCTTATGGGAATCAGTTGGGTTTTTAAAAGCCAAGTCTATTTTATCTCTCTCACTCTCTCACACACACACACATATATATATATATATATATATATATATATATATAGTGTAACCCGGATATAAGAGAGATTTTCTCCGGTCCCAAATTAGAGCCTGTGTTAATGTATATAAAATAGACCAAACCCGGATATAAGAGACTTCTTCTCCGGTCCCGACAACTCTCTTATATCCGGGTTACACTATATATATATATATATATATATATATATATATATATAATGATTTATTTAAAAATGATTCCAACGCTACATAAGCGTTGAAATCATATTTTTAAATAATTATATTTATGCTCTACTTTTGTATCGAGCACTATTTTTTTAAAATAACAAAAATACTAAAGAACTTTGGATTATTTACCTAACGAGTTCTTTCCTATTTTATATATATATATATATATATATACACACACACACACACACACGTAGAAAAGGCAGTTTTAAGTGACAACGCGTTTCACCGACATGTTAGGCTCGGCCTATTCAGGATATAGAATGAAAGAAAATTTTCTAAGCGATTTTTATAAGGACAATAAATTAAATTCTTTAAAAGATATGTGAATTCATATGTCCTTTAAGGAACTGTTCCTAATCAAACCAAATTCATGAATAACTGGACATACCACTACATGCCTATCAAGATTCACGTTACATCTCTCTGACCATAGCTTAATTAGGATTCAATTAAACACGAATGGAAATCTATCAAACTCCATCCGCGACACACTCGTTGAAAATACAAATAGCCTCATCCACATGTCAAAAGAAGAAAACATGATAAAAATAATAGAAGCACTAATAATAAAGCAAAAAAAGTCAACACTCTATAACATCATCTCTGAACACGGCTACAATGTACTGACCGTGTTTTGAAAAAAAAAAAATTCCCATCACTCCAGATAAATATAGAAAAAAATTGCACATTCCGTTAAAAAAGAAAGAAAAAACTTTGATAATGTCTAACAGAATAGCCGAAAGCGCTCGGATATAGAAAATTCGGACAGTTTTTACACACTTTGTCCAGAAAAGAAATCACTCATACGAACACAAGGAAAATTGAATAGAAATCTTAATCGCAGTACCTTGTCAGTCGTCTTGTACAAAAATAAGATTGCAGCCCAAATACGCACAAAAGTAAATGCTCTGTTTATAATAAACAGTATTAGCATTTACCGGCCTGAATGTCCGAGAAATTTCATAGAAAATATGTTTCCTCCGACAGTACTCAAACATGTATCCTACACGAGACCGTCATATATTAAGATATGGTTAGAGCAGATAGGAGCATTCGAGAGAAATCATGGAAAATTTGTAATTTACAAGCTGTAATTCAACTTTGCTAACCAGACGCTTCCTCTATAGCTAAATGGTATAGCACGTCAGGCTATACGACGGTTCCGTGTAGGATACAAGTTCAATTCCTGTCGGAGGACACACATTTTCTATGAAATTTATCGAATATTCAGGCCGGTAAATGTTGTTAACACTGCTTATTATAAACAGAGCATTTACTTAAATGTTCGTATCTATAAAATATAAATATATTAAAATAATTGTCGGACTTATTCCATTCCATTTCATTCTATTTATAATATATAAAATCCAAAGAGTTATTCCCTCTCCAGGCCACCGATGTTGGCAAAGGTCAATACAGCCTGGCACCGGCGTCATCGCAGGAGTTTCCAAAACTAAATTGAACATGACATCGAACTGTCTTAGGGATTCTGACTCTAGATTTGAATTTAGAGTTGTCCTTCTCCCCGTGTCTACAGAGCTCAAACTGTCCAACTATTTTTACCTTCTCCTAGACCGGTTACCAACCAAGGCTATAGAACCCAGTCAGTTTTGCTATTTATCTACAGGGTATTAGCGCAAAGTGAATGTAATGTACTCTACTTTCCGTGTGTGTGTGTTTCTCTCTCATATATATATATATATATATATATATATATATATATATATAAATTTTTAGTCTCGAGCAAATGTTTTAGGAACGCAGAAGTCAAAGAACATCTTGCTGTATTTTTCTATACGTTTCGAATATATAATAGTTAATACAGATTTTAACTATAATTATAAAATTTAGGCAAAAGTCACTGGTAGGATACTTGATTCATTTTGACTTTGATGTGTACTGTGAGTGTTGAATTCTCCAAGCCTTTTCTTCATTATGTATTCCGAAATATACAACAGTTTCTTTGTAGTTTATATTCTACTTGAAGCTTCCATGATATTCTCAACAGTCATCGGCTGAACCACATCTCAGTTGCGTTAATTCTTTTTTTTTATCGGTCTATATTTCTTTTTTTTTTTAAATTATCATTTCTGATGAAGCTGTCCTTAAATTGGAGAAGACTTTGTTTTTACCCCGCCATTTTCTGATAAAATTTTCAAATCTTCGACCAGCTTGTGTCAGTAATATTTATATCGGTATATGTGTCTTCTTAGCTCGAAACAGTGACGCATATCGCGATAATGTTCATCGTGGTGAAAACTGCCAAGTACAAGCAGGTGTCCTGCGACAGAGATGCACACGTACTCCTTTTGTTCAATTACAGCCCTCTTCGAGAGGCTGTATGGTCATTTTGAAGAAATGATGCGCATATTGGATGTGACATGTTTCGAGGTTAAAAACAGCGAACAGATAAACGTTCCTACAAGCGTAGACCATGCTCTGTAAGGACACGGAGTACAAAATCCCGGCAAGATCGATATATTGTAAGAGTAGCAGTTGTAGACTGCACTTTGTCCACAGCACAGGCCAGAGCAAATATAACTCCAGGAGGGTTGAACACTGACTGCTGGGAATCGTTTACTTGGAAACTGTCATTTGCGTCACAGATTAGTCCATATATCCTAAAATTTCTTAAATCAAACGGTATTATAAATATATGACTTCAACAAAACTACAACATAAAAAAAACACCTACATCACCACCTCTAGTAATCTTGTCCACACAAACATGTATATGCATACAAGCTGATTATCATATACCATGTATTCAATTGTGAAAGAAAGATAACGTATATCATATTCTTATTACTTCAAAGCAACCAAGAAAATTAAATTTCGGCATTAAATGACCTATAAAGAATTGAATATCCGTTAAACAAACAAATCAAGCAACATGCTCTGCAAGATGTTCGACAACTTCCTTGTCCGGCACGGTAGCCAAGCCTAACTCTTACTGAACATGTATGCAACATGGTGTGACTTACAACGTCATCTGTTTTGCGTCAACGAGTGATAGAATAATGTATCGTAGTATGGTATTCGCTATCTCTGTGATCATCAATATACAAGAGTACAGGCCTGTATTAACTCTCAACGATAATATTCCAGATATTAACATATTTGGAGTAATTTTCAGTCACCCCTTTTGGAACATGTCTACGTCACTGTTCTATTGTATACGCGATCGTACACTGTAATCAAGCTATCTTACCTATACGTTTAGTTTTGAATAAATTGAAACCTTTGCGTTTCAAATAGATTGGAAAAAATCCACCTAAGACATCCTTATTCTTACCACCTTTTTTTTTTTATTAAATATTCAGAAAGTTTTCTCCTCACTTTATAATTTACACTGCAAGCATTCTAAAAGAAAGCGTTTAATTTCTGAAAAAAAAAAAATGAAAATTATTTAAAAAAAAAAAAAAATCCAGCCCAGCTAATATATATTCTAACCATGCATTTTATTCCAAACTAAGTTAAGGAGTTGCAATTTTATTCTTTGTCAGTATATACTCTCTCTCTCTCTCTCTCTCTCTCTCATACTCTTAATATTTCTTTCCTCTCTTATTTTCTCGTTCTCTTTTATATCTATTTTCCGAAATTCTTTACTATAATTCTTTGTTTTCCTTTTTCATCTCTTTCGTCGCCTTTCTCCCTCTTCGTCTTTTTAGTGACATGTTTAATTCTTTCATTTTAATTTCATTCGTACGCCCTGATTCTATATTCACTATTTTTCCTTTTTCTTTTCCCACGAGAAATGGCGACCATTGTTTCGCCAGATAAGGTTTAATCCTCTTAAGAGTTCTTTTTTCCTGCTTTCTTTCTTTTCTCTTTACTTTTTTTACAATCTTTCTTACTAAACATCTGTTGTGCAACAAACAGTTTTTTCCTCTTCTCCGCAACAGCAACAATAGACCCATTTCGCCCCAAACAAAAAAAAAAACATGGCTAATATCACTGACTTGTGTTTTATTTACTTATTTATTTATATGGCCTCTGCTCTTAGAAGTTCCCACTCTGTCCTCTTGTATTTCTGTGTGGGATTTCTAATGCCCAGTAATTGTTTAAGGGGGATATGGTTTGCCTGTTGAACTTGTTTATAGCATTGGTCCAGATTTTTCTTTGACATTTTAATCAATGAGTTCTTTTATCACATCATTTTCAGGAAAGTTATATATATTTTATATATATATATTTATATATATATATATATATATATATATATATATATATATATATATATAAACATCAGTGTACACATGCGCTTGTAATTTGAATTTTTAAGTTTCTCAAGTCTATTTTCCTTTAATGGATAGCGGCTCAGATTGAGGAATCGGAGAGCCGAGTTCGAATTCCAGTCGAATCCTTTACATTCACTTACGTGCTAATAACCTTGGGAAAGGTATGACTCCTCTTCTCCTCCTCCCCATAGCAGGACAGACCGGTTTCTATAGCCTTGGATAGCAACTGGTTTACCGCAGAATGAAATGGCAACCCACTGCGGGAAAAAAATCTGCCTCATCAGTCATGTATCGAAAGATACGTGATCGCATGACTCATAACTGACTGATTGCTGCAGCTACTGACTGAATTTTCATATCTGAAATTCATTGTTTTTTTTTCTTTCTCTCTCACACACACACACACACACACTCTCTCTCTCTCTCTCTCTCTCTCTCTCTCTCTCTCTCTCTCAGTGTTTAATAATTTAGTTTTTTGGGGGGTTTTTTTCGGTGTTTATTTTTCACCGGATAGAATATAATTTCGAAAAATATTGAATAGTGTCCACTCATTTTAAGGACGACTCACGAAGAGTCCATAATCATCTGTATACTACGAAACAAATTAAAATTGTTTGTAATTAAACAAAGTGAAAACGGTGAACAGTACAATCTAGAACGCCAAATGGGAACAGAAACAAAAAGCAAGTTCCGTTAAAAATCGGCCGACAGATTAATAAAGTTAGACATTTTTCTGTCGTTTCTCGTATTGTTCGAATTAAATTTCAAGTTTGATCGTCATGTTGTTCGTCATTTCCCTTATGATGAGGTTATTTTCACATGTTTAAACAATTACATCCGACCGCAAGGCCTCTTGCAGGTTTTAAGGTGCTTGGAACCACCTCTTAACTACTGTTGTTGCCAAGTCCACCCTGACTCGAGGTGGTAGCATCTGTTAGGGTCCCAGCTATGGGCAAATAGTGAACCCCCAAACAAAAATTTTATAGCAAAATAACAATCCATACAACACCAAAAAAAAATATGAAAATACGTTTTTAGTAAAATTATCAACCATAGATTTTATGATCTAAAACTATATATATATAAAAAATATCTTTACCGTGAAAGTATAAAATATTGTACAAAATATGTGCAGTTTAAAGTATAAAATTACTTAAAAAATATTTAGATTTTGGCATTGAATAACCCATAGAGATTGATATGCCGCCAAACAAAATTAGCCAATCAACATATTTACACAGGAACGTTGCGAGATTATCTTCGATTTCTACAAAAATGTAATTTAAGCACTGCAAAATTTTAGATCTAAATTTTTAGTGTTGTCATGACAACGGTCATTAATTTATATTCTCTATACATTTTCAATATAATATTTTCATATTTATGTAATAAAAAAATCACCATTGTAACTTAAGTTTTATGTATTTTTATGCTTGATTTATACAAATTACGGACTTCCTAAAAAATATCCCGAAAGTCTCATTTTAATATTCTAAATGTCTTCTTTGAAGTTAAATCTTGGTTTTATTTGAAAGATAAAAGCATAAAGCTAATCCGTATAAAAAGAAAAATAAGTTTCCATGTGTAAATAAAGATTTTAGACATTTTAAAAATCTTGGCACGTCTGCTCGTCAGTCAACTTATAGACGAAAATATAAAGAACGAATTTAAAAATCACTTTAATATCCAATATTTGTCCTAGAGATTTGTTTCAAAATAATTTAAGGATTAATTAACTAGATTTTTTAAAAATAGTAATGCCTACATTTTGTTTAGAATCTGACGAAAATAATGCTTTACTCACGGTAGCCTGTGATGTCCTAGGTCGACAACAGTAGCTTGATGCTTGGCTTTAATACAAAGGGTTTAGCTAATTTTTAGTAGCCGCCTGCATTTACATCAGGATAAATAATGTTGTTATTAGCTAACATTTTCTTAATGGGAGCAGTATAGACCATCGATTTAGGATCAGAAGCAGTCTCCATACAGTGAAGCAAAATAGCAAAAGTAAACCGTGCAAAAATTAACTCATCCGCAAAACAGATTTTCTATATCGACCTAAAAAATATAAAATAAATTCTTATTAATAATAACTTCCTTAATTCCCGATGAACAAATAAGATGTTCTATTAGAAATTTTACTATAAATCAAATAGAATACTTTAAATAATCCTAGCCTAAACATATTAATCTTTTATCTCGTAATCAGATACATTCTAATTATAAACAAGACGAAAATTTCCTAAAAGAAACTAATACATACTAATATATCCACCACAGATCCTAATAAAAATAAGATTAATTATATACTATACTAAACTCAATATATCCAATTTGATCATTTGTAATGACTTGTCCCCACCAATTAACGTCTTGCAGAAAAACATATATAAATTTAAATGTCACTTCGTAGATTGCATCTCCAACAGAAAAAAAAATATGTGCTGGTCACACCACAACTACGTTGTCTGGAAGATTGAGATTTCATTTGAATGATGCATCTGACATCTCTCAACATTTCCAACAGCATGCCTGTCTACATTCGCAATTTAGAAAAACTCCTAAACTAAAAATTCTTCAATTCATTTATATTAAATAAAATTGAAACCAACCCCAGTGGCGTAGCTAGGGAGTCCGCACTTTTAGTCTGCGGTGAGTTTTCAGAAAAGAAAAAATAGCATAATTTCAATAATTTTTGCAAAAAAAAAAAAGCAGCGATAGATAGGTTTCACATGAAGCCAATTTGTCTTTGATATGGCTGGCTCAAAGTCAGGTAGCCAGCAACAAAAACAAAAAAAACATTGTCTCCAAAACGTGCTGTCAGTTAGTGGGGGATAAACCCCACTTACAGGACGTGAGCAAAAGGTGCGTTAAAGGGCTTGATGTGGGGATGGATTAATTGAATTTAGTGAATCCAGTTTTTTCACACACATGTGAGAAGTCTAGATTTTGATTTTCATGTTTGTGAATTATTATTGAAAACAAATAAGTGAACCAATTGATTTTTTAAAAATCTTATTATAGGCCTAGTTTTAATACGGATATAAAATCGTTTCTTTTCATAAATTATAAAATAAATAAATTGAAATAATTTCAATGCTTTAATGATATCACACGCATTCCAGTTTTTTGTCGGAAATATCGAACGAAAATTTAAAAGAAAATTGAAAATCAAGATATATATTTTTAAGTACAGAAACTTTCAAAAATTGTCTTTTTTTTTTCAATTTACAAGTTTTCGCGGTAGTAAAACAATGCAATGTTTTATTTTTTGTTTAGATAGTTGAAATTTTATTAAGCAATATAGACTAAGAATTAAAACTATAACATATCAGTTTTTAAAAGTTAAATTAATTTTAACGGACTTTTAATTCTTAGTCTACCACTTTGCTAATAACTTCAACTACGTAAAACAAAATTTAAAGAGACTGCATTTTTTACATTGTTTAAAGAAAAAACCTTGTTTCTGTTAACGTGGCATTTAATTTATGATTCCTCACTTAGAATTGAAATAAATATTTAAAAAAAAACTGATACATTATAAATTAAAAGTACAATGTGTTTTTTTGTTTTTCTTTTTAAATAAAACCGAGGGTATATAAATAAAAACAATTTCTTTGTTTTAATTTCGTAAAAAGTTTTGAAAGTTTTCCCGATTTAGAAAAAAAACAAGTAACGTCTTCGTTTTTTTTTTAAATATCCCCAGTTTTACTTTTTAAAAAAAAAAATACAATTGTACTTTTATTTCCTAATTTATCAGTGATCACAATAACGGAAACACGGAAAAACTGGCATCATACGGGTATTAGATTCTGAGAAATGGAAAAAATATTAAAAATTGATGGGTGTACGAATAATTTCGTCGTTGACTCTATATATATATATATATATATACACGAATGTAATGAGAAAGAAAATAATATATAAATTCTAACATTCACAGCGTTAATTCAAAAGAGGTCTCAATACCGATAGTAGAGCAATAATTATTTATTATAATTTTTTTTTTAGGCAAAAAACGAATTTATAGGCAAAATGGTTTTTTCTATTAAAATATATATATATAAATAATATATATATATATATAAAATATATATATATATGAAACTTTAAGGGGTTAATGTGCATTGTAATATTGTATTCCTTCTGGAATCTGGGGCGGCAACTTGAGGGCCGCCTTAGGCAGCAAAACACTAGCTACGTTACTGACCAACCCTTAATAAAATTATGAATACTGCACAAATGTTTTAAAATGTTTACAGTAGATATTTAAAATATATGAATTTTAACTAATGGCTTTAAATAACTGTTTTTACATAGGCATCTCAATAGTTACCTCCCTTGACGTTACTAAGCATGTATGTTTACATCATAAAATTTAAAAAACGTATAGTACATAAGTTTAGCGTTTTTCACTTTACAAGTAAAAAGAAAATAATTTTCAGATGAACACAAC